TGCCCGCCCGCCCGCCGGTCCGCCCGGCCGACCAGACCCCGGCAGCTCGGGGCCCGTCCCGCTCCCCCACCCCGATCGCTGCCTCTCCCCGATCGCAGCCCCGGGGAAACATGTGTCCTGCTGCCTGTCGCTGCCTTGCGGCGGCTCTCCCGGAGCCCCTCTCTGGTTTCTAGAACGAACTGCACAAGCCGGTCCCTTGCAGCCCTCGGGAAGTTGCCTTGAAGGGATTCTTGCTGACCCACCTCACTCTGCCCCTCTTCCAGTTTTGTCGGATCTCTAGAGACTAGGGCTTAGAAATGGGATGGACTGGGCGCTGGGGCTGTCCAACGGGGCCGGGGCCGGTGCTTTTCGTATGACCCCAGTCGTTCTTAGCTCCAGAGACTTTCATTTCACATGGCATTGTAAGCCGTTTTGCAAGCTAACAGTAAGACTGTTGGTTGAATGGAAGACGGATGATACATTGTTAATGTTGAAACCGGGATTTTTTGTGTGGTAACTTCTAGGAAAGTTGATACCTGTTCTTTGCGACCATGTGTCAGAAGTTTTGGGGAGACTCGCTGAAGAGTGTTTGGATACCTTTACAGACCAAAGATGTATTTTACATATAGCTAGTGAGGTTGGCATGTCTTTTGTATTTATCGGTCTAAAGTTGAGAGCTGTCTTTTAAAACAGAGTTAATCTGCTTTGAGTAGAAAGGATATTCCGGTCACACTTAGTTTAGTAAGTAAATGTGTTGGAAACTTCTGTATGAAACGGAGCTTTAAACTGTGTCTTTATTAAAAAAAAAATAATAATTCTGGGGGGAGGGGAGATGACCAGGTTTGTAGTTTACACAGGCCCTCAAACTTGTGGCATACCCCTGCTTATGCCTCCTGAGTGTTGGGATTTGGAACATGAGTTTCCTTATTCATGAAATATACAATGTATATATTTGCATATATACATTGTATATATACAATTAAATTGAATGTGAAATTAAAACAATACAGTTTTTAACCCGTTTTCCACGTTAGTATTAAATGAGTCTTCCTTGGAAATGTAACAAGCATCACTAATGTGTACATCAGTGTTATTTTGAATGGGTTTACAGTACACATTCTGCAATTGGATTTTCCACTCAGTTCATTTCACATTGTCACCTAGAAGACCATACATTATATAGATGCTTCTAGTATCTTCAGAGAGTACTGCTCATACAAGTACATGTATTCTTGTCTATGCATGCTTTGCAAGGTTTTTTTAAGGTAGTTATATGTATTTAGAAGTTG